TATCATTACTGTGTCGTTTCACTTCCTCTCGCCTTTCGTCATATCTCAAAGCTCACAAGGTATTTCTGCAGGTTATCCTTATCCCTCTGTATGTTCTCTTCCAGTACTGTCCTAGGGATGATGACTATCCAATGCAGTGTGGTTTTGATGTGCATCAACATCTCTCTTGAAAGAACAGAATAAGGCTGATTCAATCTTTGTAATTCTGCAAGCAAAGGGCTTCAGGACTAGCTGTGTAGCCCTGGTACTTCTTTCAATACTTTCATCTCTCCTCTAGTTACCTCTTTTCCCAATCTGCCAATCCTATTCCAATTCGTAACTTTTCAGGCTCAAGCACAAATCCTTTATCAAAGGATTCAGCGTCAATATAATTCCTAAATGAAATATTTGAATTATCTTATAAAAAAAAAGCTGTTAAGCTAGCTAGCTAGCGTAGTCTAGCTTTGACAAATCTGTGCTGTATTTGACCCCAATTGTATTTTCATGGTTTGTTTTGGAGACTGTCATGCTATTGAGTCTAAATTAATAAGCTTGTAGTTGCACAGAACATTTTTACTTTCCGTTACACATAAAATATTACTGCTTTCAATTGCACAATACTTCGGCTGACCTGATAAAATTATTTAAGCACCTTACAGACTTACAGTTTCATATGTAATTTTTAGGTTCTTGGATGGATATTACCTGCTGTCTTGATGCAGATATATTCTTTAGTTTCTGTCTTATAAGGCAGTTTCTGTCTTTCATTCCATAAGCATTCTTGCTGTACAAGATCAGCATAGTTCATCTTATTGAAAATGGAGGTCAACTATCACTGACATAGAAAAATGTATCTGGATCGTGCTAATCTTGACTCTGCATGTATTACATTTTCATTTAGATGGTCAAAGAACCTTTTCAATATTTCCTTTCCAAGGTCAAATGCAGCTTTGGCAGTTTTCTTTTTATTTCTAAAATTTCTGACCTTAGTTCCTTTTCTTTCTTGCATATTCTCAAAACCTCTACTCATTTAATATTCTCTGGAGAGAATCTGAATTACTGTTTCATTATTTGAATTCACTGTCTACTGTCTACTAATTTGTTTTTTATAAGAGAAGTAAATTTCAATAGCCGAACTTAGATACTGTGAGAGAATTAAGAAGGAAAATAACTATAAAAAATCATTAACATCTTCAGTTGAAAGGGACACTTGAAAGACCGAAAAATATTTTTTCTTTTCTTTCTTTCTTTTTTAGTTCCTTTTTTTTTTTTTTTTTTTCTGATGAGACAGTCACTGCAATCTAAGTCACAACAATATCAATATGACATTTTATTAGGCCAATAACTATTTGTGGGAAAAGGATCTGTCACCAGTAACACGCATCTTGTTTCCCTTAGCTTCATTATCAATATTTATTCAACAATCTCCAAATTTTACATAAATTACACAGTTCTAATTTGTGTGAGAGTGTCTGTCTGACAACACTTTAGAGATCTCTGCTCATATTCAAATCTGAGGCTCCTTTCAGTTTTTCCTTAATGGTGCCAACCCTTTGCTACCTGTGTCACAGTTTCTTTTGGCATGGTCATCAGTTCAACATGAACTTAGCTCTATCTTCTCATCATTTCCAGATATTGTTTACAGCTGCCTTATACAACCCTTGTATGAATAAACCTTCATGAGAAGAACAGGGAGCAAAAGTCGTGGGGAGAAGTGACATCACATGCTTCATAATTGCTGCACCTAGAACTTCTCAGTTAGTACTTTTTTTCCAGCTTTTCACTTCGTCTCTTCTCCCCATGACTTTTGCTCCTGTTCTTGCCTCCATTATAACAAGCAAAAGCCTATAGTTATCACATACTCAATTTTCTGGTGGTTATTTATTTTTCTTAACTTTCTTATACGCTGACCATTTTCAGATTTCAAACCTAGACCAGTTTTTCCCCATCAGATTAGCTCAGGAATAAACACCAAGCAGCATCAATGAATGCCAGGAACTTTTTCTCCACACCCATAGTTCAGAGTACTGTAAAAAGTGACCAAAGAAAGAAGGACTTGTGAGACTCTTAATAAAAATGGGGCACACACAGAGTTCTCCACTTTCTTCCCCCCTCTAATTCCTGTGCTTGCTCTTCCTTTTCTTTTCAAGTTTGTTATGAAAACCTACTTGTCTCCTTCATTTATGTGTGGCTGCTGTAACTAGCAGGCAGGTCTCCTCATTCTCTGACCCACAAGGCTTCTGACCTGCTCAAAACATCAGTGTATACTTTTGCTTTAAGGATTGGATGGCTTTAGCTACTGTCCTCTTCACAAGATCTGATTTTGCCAAGCCAGTTTCGTTCTGCTGTCAAGGTTCTTTATGCTTCTTTTCATCCACTGAAGTAAAAACACTTTGCAAGAGAAAGTCTATTATCTCCGTGTTATAAATGAGTCAAATGAGTCACAGAGGTAAAAATATGCTAGCTAAGAACAAACGGCAGGTCAGAAACAGAGCTAAGAATAAAATCCAGGTCTCTTGACCCCAGTCCAAAGTACATTGGATCACCCTGATTTAATCCTTTGAAATCACTAAAGTGGATGACTTGTTAAGTTGCTACTCAGTACAAGCAAGAGTGGCAGAAACAGGCGTTTAAGTTGAAATCCAAGCTGTTGCTTGTGTATGTGAAATACTGAGTGGCTGGACTGTGAGTAAAACCAAGAGCACAACCCAACAGACCTTTGTCTAATTTACTTTTGTGCCATGGGTGCCTCAGGGGGAAAGTTTTCTTCCTAAATACCAGTTTTCTTGTTGTCCATGCCTCATGTTTGGTAAGATGACTTAAGATGATAACCCATCTTCCACTTGCCCAGCCAAGAGTATTTGTCTTCCTATTTACATCATTCTCAGTGTATAAATTATGTATCTCATTGCAACTGAGTAAGTGTGCTTTAAGCACACCTGGTACTCACTGAAACCACTGAGGTTAACACAGCATGCCTGGAAGGAGATAAAGAACCCTTGCTTTTCCTCATGACTTAATGTCTAGGAAAGCTGCCTCGGACTGAAGGAGCTCAATCCAAATTTCTTGCCATTTCTGTTGAAGGTGGGGTCAGACAGGAAGAGAGGCAAGAGAGAGCTTGGCTTTACAGTCTGACAATTAGAGGGCGGAGTACATGATGTGGGATTCAATAGTCTGAACCCAGGAACATCTCCGTATGTCAAATAATGACTGCTAATTTAAATTCAATAACCCTTCATAGGAAGGCAATCAGATGATTTATTGGTACCCAGTTATGATGAGAGAGAGGAGGTGAGGCTTGAAGGCAGATTCCTCAGGCTGTAAAGGCAGGTGTCAGTTTGTTGCTCTCCTGCTGGCTAATGTTGAATACGTTCAACAGCAGTTGCACATGGCTACTTTTCCAAGTCTATTCTACAGCCTGATGCCTAGGGTCTTCTCTCAAAGTATAAGAGATGAAGGTTTAAATTCCCGCCAGAGAAAACTGAAGCAAGATCCAGGAGAGAATACCCTGCTATGGGGATAGTGGAAGAGAGAAAATAAGTGAGAGAGTGAAAAATCAAAATAAAATTAAAATGAAGGCTGCTGTCAGCTGTCCTTTCAAATGGATGTGCCCTTCAGGCAGCTATGTTTGAATATACAGCTGAAGTTCCCAGATGCTGGAGTGGCTTCGCAGTGGTGAATATCTTTTCACAGACCCACCTAAAAGCGGCAATAAGATCAAAACTATGTTCTATGAGTAAAGTTGGATTTCAAACACACTGTTCCCCTCAGAATTCCCTTGTAGCTCCCTGCTTAGCACACTGGCTATTTTGAAACACATTTCTGCTCACCTAGCCAAGATGTCTACTTGTATTTTGAATTCTGCTTCTGTGCCATTCTAGACTTGACCTTTTCACAAAAGTACTTTGTAAAAGAATTCCAGCTATAAAGGCTAGGTGAAGTCAGATGACATTGGCTATTGGCAGATTAACTAAATTTTACCAGATTTTACAGAAATATGCATGAAAAAGGCTTGCAGGTGAGCCCTGAAGAGTTAGTGGAATTCCATTAAAATCAACACAGAATTAGCATTGCAAAGGTGATTTATTGATGCCTAGGTGTGATGAAAGAGGAGGTGAAGCCTGAAGCAAACATATCAAGACACCTGACAGTTTATGCTCTTTATTTTAAAGCAGATGGATGACCACCATTTATAAAATACAGCAAACAAACAGTTTCAGTCAGATGCAAATAGTGCCGTCTCTTCAAACAACAGACTGACTCGGTGTCGGTATGCCATCGTAATCATCTGAGTAGTGCTGATACTGGTCAGTAAGAAGAGGCTGATGCAACTCATCCTTATTTTTCTTGACACGTATGATACAGGCAGCAGCAGCGAAGATAATTGCAACAAGAACCAGGGCAGTCACTATTGCAATAGTTATCATCTCTGTGACACGGAGAGCCCGACCTACAGGAAGGAAAGCAAAAGGGAAAGTTATTAAATCTCAGGTATATGGATAAACATCAGAGGGAGAGACCAAAGCTCTTGTGAAGTAGAACTGGTTTAAATTTTAGTTGGTAATATTTGTTCCAAAATGTGAGAAAATATCAGTTTCTCCTGTTGCACTTTAAAAACAGTCCTGGACCCTTCTTCTGCTATCTGTTTTGTGAGGGATTTGCATTGTCTGTGGTGATTTAATGAAGGCATATGATACAGAAATAAGGACTTTCTGCAAGGTTTAGATCCAAATAAGAACTTCTCCATAAATTGAAGTAGATAGCGGGAGCTTCATGCAGGAACAATCTATAATCAGTAGCTATTGAGCTGTACTAAATCTCAAACATGACTAAGTTGGAAAGCCAGGCAAGAAAAGAGAAAGAGAGCTTTACAAAGGCATCGAATATTGTTTGTGAAATTTGAACCAATGCTGCATGTTATATGCTGCATAAACTTAAAGGAAGAAAGACATGGTGACTGAAAAAAGAGGAAGCGTCTAGGTTGGACAGTTTACCTGGCCACTCGACTTCGTAGCTGTATCCCAGGTTTTCTGGTGCAGTAACAAACATTTCATTATTGGTAACTGGAGGCCAGAAAGGCACCATATTATACTGTCGGTTATGTCCAATAGGGGCATTCTCCAGTGGATATGTTGAGATATCTAAATTCAAAAATCAAAACACACTTCTGTAAATAAAACCAAAATAATTTGCGCTACATTTATTTTCCACTAGTGACTCAGGGTTTTCAGTACCTCAATTTTTTTGTTCCTAACCTAAATTCTTTTAGAAGGTTTGGTTTGCCAGTGTGACAGATCCAGAATGGAGGGCTCTGCTCTGTCCAAAAGCAATACCACTAATATCTCTGGTTTTTAACAGAAACCAACAGTAAATTCTAAAACTTTCAGTATGTGTTGGACTTTTAATTTCCTCTCGCATGAAAAAGGAGAAATATGTATACATGGAATGTTTTCCAATACTTGGAAAACCTTTTTGCTACAATCTGGCTTTTTCTGATTTTAACAGTGATGAAGAACTCTCTCCTGCAGTTCAGGATGGCAGCTGATATGAACTCCAGTGGAATTTTTTTTGCAATGTTATAGTAAATCAGGAGAAAGTCAGCCGAAGAAAAAAATAATCCAGGTTGGTAGGATGATGCAAAAGCTTGTGATGGGTTATGCAAGTACCACAAGGGGATACAGTTGCTCTCTGATAGTTGACATGGGTAAAATATGAGACAGGTTGTGGAAGCTGCACAAAAAAGGTTCAGTTATGCAACAGCAGCTGTCTTCTGTAGAGGAAGGAACAGGGGGCTCTATTGTCCTAAAAAGAATAGTCACTGCTTTGTGCAGATTAATGCGAAGACCTTAGAGTTACATAGAATTCTCTCCCCAGTTCACTGATGCCAATCTTCCTTCCTTCCTTCCTTCCTTCCTTCCTTCCTTCCTTCCTTCCTTCCTTCCTTCCTTCCTTCCTTCGCTTCCCTCCCTCCTTCCCTCCCCTCTCTCCCTCCCTCCCTTCCTTCCCTCCCTCCCTCCCTTCCTCTCCTTCACTTCCTCCCTTATTCCTTTTCTCTCTTTTAATAATGCCCTTGTGAAATAAATAAGGGCAGCAACAGTGACCATCCTTTGGAAGAATATGGAAATGGTAATGGCCTGTTGGTAGTGTATCACAAAGGTATTAAAAATGAATCATGAAGCTGTGCATGGCATCTGATCTTGTTTGACGAGAAGAAACATAGGTATTTACTCCACACAGAGACAGAATATCCATAAAGTATTTGGACCTTCCATGGCTACACTGTCTTTGCTCAATGGAGACAATGTGTGTGCACACTTTGTTTTCTTGAATTATTCCTGGTATCTTTGGCCAAGTACCTTCACAGACAGTGATTCAAAAATGGATGCCAGTGAGGTGAGGAAGGGAGCTTGCTTGTTATTAGTCTGTCTTTGTTAACTATACTAACTGTTAAAATTCCAGTCCTCTCTCTCCTAAACATAGGGGTGTCTTTCTGTCCCACAAGAAGCAGCTGAGCTCCTGTGACTACAGAGACTGACAACCACCCATCCCACCTCTGTCCATGAGCACATCTTACCTGCAGAATACCTTCTCAGCCACTCATCAAAAACAGCATCTGTAAATGTGTGCAGGAGGACAAAAATGGGATCATTTGGTGATAAATGGGTTTGCCCTCCTGTTCCATTCAAAAATAGATGAGCCAAGTTGTGAAGACTTCGAACTGCTGGGTCATATTTCCCTGAAGGATCACTGTACCCTGAATATGCAAACAAAGAAGAATACAAAAAATCCCAGTGAAGATTTTCTTTGGAAGCTGCAGTCCCAGCTGGATACTTTTTTTCTCTGACAGGCTGTCATGTTGTTGTGTTGCCTTGCTTAACACAAATGAGTAGCTAATTCTCTACCTACTGGCATTTGTGAAATGTCCCTAGCATGCATAATTTTCAGATTAAATAGCCTTTATGAAAGAATGCTGAGAATGTGGAGTGCAAGGCTGCAGGGATCTAATGCAAAAATGGCCAAAATAAACCACATCATGGCATGAAAATAAAGGTATACATTTGAGACCTACATATCTTTCATCATACTGAAATAGTTGCATGTGTTTTCTAACTGCTGACTCAAGCGTATATATGTTAGAATCTATCTTAATGACCCAGCTGTTATGTTTCCACACATAATTTCCATGCTTACTGTGAACACATCTCAGAAAGCTTCACATGCTCTTTTTTTTTTTTTTTTTTTTCAGTAAAGATACCCTATGTAACTCTATTAGTGCCCAACACCTGGTAACCCTCATGTCAGATGTCAGGATCTGAAGCATCATGAAAACTTTTCTTGTTTTGTAGCTCTGGCGAAACTTTCTAGAAAGGGGTCCATACAGTTAATTGGCTAAAGCCATGTTTAGATAGCCCATTTGTCAAATGTGGTAAGCACCCAAAACTTTCATGTACACTTGATTGGTGCAAAGTCTTGATTTTTATTCTCCAAGAGAAAGAAAATGGAACATATCCTCCCCATCGTAGGAGTTATGCCTCTTCAAAAGAGCCAAAGGATCTACAGGAGGTCTGGCAGGGATCTGAACCATCACTTGGTAATCTTTTCTTATGAATCCTAGTATTTCCTGTTAAAAACTGTGGATTATTAAAGTGCAGAAGCAGTTCACAAGATACTGGCTGAACAGCATGGATCGAATGTGTAGACCGTTCTGTGTTGGGGAGTGTGTGTTCAGATGCCAGTACTGAAAATTTCATTGTAAATGTGTAGAGCTTAGAGAAGAACAGAGTTATATGGCCCAGAGAGAAGGACTAACATGTCTAGCAGTAAACCCTGTACCCAGACCTCAATTAACACTTCAGTACCATTTCATTAAGTACTACCAAGGCTTACAATTTCTTTTGCTTTTGTTTGTTCTAATTCAGATGATAGAAGAGTAACTGCTATGAGCACTTGTTTTCCTCATTTAAGGATGCAGCTGCATGATTCTGCAGGTAAGGGCTGTCTATTTTCAGCAACAGCAACATATTACTAGGTTGCAAGGACCTGATGTCAGCTAGTTTCTACTTAGTACACCAGTGGCAGACTTTTGAGGCTTTTACTAGTTTAAACAACTGACATAAGCTGTAAAGTACTTTACCCAGAGCTTATTTCCACTTAAATACTAAGCTAATACTTAATGCTAAGAACAATGTGTTCTTAGTATCCAGTAGACTGTCTCCAAACTTATACTTCCAGCAGGAAAAAAGGGAAACTTGCTCCCTTAACTCATGTGGAGTTGTTTCAGGTCCTTTTATTTGCCATGTTTACCTTCTACTGTGTTACGGAAACTGTCTGTTGAATTAGAATAGAAAGGAGGAGTGTCAAATACACCAACTTCCAAACACTGAGCAACGTCCTCGGGCTCTGGGAGACGCTGTACCATAGGCCGTGCAACATTTCCAGCAGGATTTCTTCGGATGGGACCACCCTCAGTGCCTGGGGGTGGAGAGGAAAGAGAGCAATACTGATGGAAAACGGTAGGCCACAGAATGCATCCTTCTAATGACTGAACCATGGGGGAAAAAAGCCCTCACAAATGACACTTAAACTGAATGAATGGGTCAGATCCTCATGTCAGGAAAAGAATCTGAATCTTCATGGGGTCCTGTGTGCTAGATCCTTCACCAGGATTTAAAAAAGCATCTAGAAGCCTCTTACTGAAATTTGTGGTTCTGTAAGTGCTTTGGGAAAATTTTCTGTTGCTTTTCAATGCAATTTCTTGCTGAGAGCTAGGACAAAAGTTTTGAGGATGTCCTGATAGAGGAGCTGGTGAAAGGACTATAGTTGATTATGTAGGTGACTAACCCAATATTGTGAGTTTCCCCTGTTTTTTCCACCTGTTTCCATGAAGATGCTAAGTTGTGGCTTGAAGGTGATGAATGCACAAGAATCTTGTTGAGATTTTTTAGCTTTTGTTGCTGAGGTAGATGTGTTAGGATTCAGTATTCACATTCAAAAAATGCTCCACATAGTGAACATGGGGATTTGTTAGATGTTCTCCTTTTAGGAGCGGAATGCCGTGAAGGTGATAAGTGGAGTAGTCAGAAGAAAACTTAAGCTTCAGTTAACAAATGACACTGCCAGATGTAATTATTTATGGCACAGGAGATTAATAGATACTGCCTAAGAAGGGAAGTCAAACCATTTAGCTCTTCCTCTGCTACAAGCTCCTGATCAAATTTTGAACTGCATGGTGCCTCAGTACAAGAGACATTTTAAGTATGCGCTATCTCGGAAGACTGATGAAACTTGGATCAAGAATATTCAAAATACACTTTAAGACTTTTTGCCTGGGAAAAGCCATTGCAATGTAAAGTGTTACATTTATTGATTATTAAAAGGATTTTCTCCCCAAATATCTTCCAGCAGTCATACTTACTGTTACAGATGGTTCCCAAAGTTTCATAGTCTTCTATATTTTCACATAGCACTCGCCACTGAGAGAAGATTGAGTTCTGGCTGATAAGAGAGACATCAAAATTGCTTCTAGCTCCCATCAAGTCATCTGAGCAGATATCACAGGTGTTTTGTCCTGTTGCAAAGTTCCAGTAGGGCAGTGCAAAAGTGGGGTCTTGCAGCATGTTCTAAACCAGATAAATACGGTGTTAAAACAAGCGTGCCCCAGACGGCTATAATATTTCCTGCTAGAAGGATGTTAAAAACCAGTTAAATAAATCTTAGTAAGAGTCAGAATCCTGTCTCATAGAGGAAAGAAATCTTTGGAAAATCTATGATATCTATGTAAAACTTGCAGTAGTTTTTCATCTTGATACCTTTGACTGTTCAACAGAATAGGTAGTAGGACAATTGAATTGAGTCATGGATCTCCCTCCTAAATAAGACAGTACCTCTTCCACAAAACCATATCATGAGTAGTAAGAAACATCACTTAATACTGATACCCCATTTTTCCAAATATTTTTAATGGCCTGTCAACAACAGCAGCATATGTAGCATACAGAATAACCTAGCCAACTGTGGAATAACTGAGTAGAGGGAAAAGTAACGAAAAGGGATATCACCCCTTCAAATTGTCATTGTTTTGTTCTAGTATGGGTTGAACAGTTCTGGAGTATGTCCTGGCTTCCAATATTTATATACCAGGATGTGTTGGCCAGCCAAATTAGCTTAACTAATGATCAATTTTACTAACATAAATAGGAATATATATTAAATCACCAAGAGCTAGAACTCCTCAGAGCTTCCACCTGATGAAATGCCAGTAATGTCAAATGTGAGTTTTTGAAGGGAGTTTGTGCCCCAGCCTGATGCAGAGACATTGAAGCTAGTGGAAATACTTGAAGTGATTTCAAACCCTGACCTTGAAAACTTAATTCTCTCATCTTTGAGAAGGATGAAGGTCCACAAAATAATCTATTCCTTTTATGGATAGGTCCACACAAGGAAAGAGAAACAAGAGAATCACTGACTTGTGAAAGACAATATAACAAACCCACTAATTTCTCTAACTAGTTACACTAATTATACAAATAAAATGTGATTATAAATCCCCAAGCCATCTCTGTAATACTTTTATTTAGAATTTCTGCTGGTTTGATTAGTCTAATTTAGACAAGAAACAGCAATAACTTTTTTTCATCCAATAAAATGCAGTCTATGGATTATCTAGTATTTATATCTATTTTTACAGGAGACTTTATGTAACTTCCATGTTTCCCATTATTCTGATTGAAATATTCTTTTTAACATCTCTATAACAATGACCCAAACCCTAAATGCACTCTATTAAAAGTTTAACATACCTAATGAGTTACTGAAATTCAAGCAGAGTTGTTTCAACACACAGAAAGATCTGTTATGATTTTTGCGTATTGGAATACAGGGAGAAGTTCTTTAACTGTACAAACTGGCATGAACACGTGGCTCAACATAATGTGAACTTTACCTGCATGTCTCTTTCAAGCTGCAGTAGGTGGTACCTATGCCATGTGACAAAAGCTGGCCCCTCATGAGAGAAATCAATTCCTCCAAAACTCTGCTGCCCTGCACCAAGGAAAGTTTTCCTAACAGAATAGTAATGAGACCACACAAAGTAGTTATAAATGGAGATATTCTCGAATTGCGGTGTGTTGCCATCTGGTCCAAAGATTTCCTCACGTCGTCTTGTAGCAATAACAATGTCAGCGTGGATTGTCACCTTGGCTTGGTGTAAGGCATTCACAAAACGCCTCCTTTCTTCTGCACTCAGATCCAAAAGATTCCTCCTGACTGTGAGGATACAGAAGAAGCAAGTTACCAAGGTAATAGACACTCAAGTCTGATCTCACAGGAGTAATTTATTTTGCTCCTGATAATTCCAGGTAAGTCCCTTTTTCTTCAAGCATTCATCCATTTTTATTGGGGCACTTCAGAGAGTACTGAGCATAAATAGAAAAACTTATCTACTATCAGAAAGGTTGAGATGAATAAAAATAAAGCTTGAAACCTTGTGGTTTTAGTGCTTTTAGAAGTATTGTTACAGATTATCCTTCCATCCTGTCAGACAAATGACAAACAGTTCTTTGTCACACAAACCTTTCAGAACCTCATCCAATATCCTTAAGGTTTTCTGTGGTAATACTTTACAAGAAAAGACTACTATATAGCAGTTTGTAATAATCAGAAGCTTTACTGCTTGACAATTTAGTGAAGAAGTACATTACATTGTTTATGCTTGAACCTTTGTAGGTGAAATGGCAGATTCACCAGTGAATTGTGAATTGTGAATTTCACACAGTACAACATCTCTCTTTAATCTCATTACCTGCTGTTATTAACGATAGCCATATATTAGTCCTTTTTAGCAGTATATCTCAAAACTGTTTAAAATATCATTATCCACATATAGACAGTGAAACAAGGAAGAAAATTGACTTGTTGAAATACCAGTTTATCAGCAAGAGGAACAGAGTACATTTCACCTCAGTCCCAGTCCAGCACTATTTCACCTGGACTGAGAAGATTTTAGGCTAAGTTTAGACTAGGACACAGGTAGAAGTCCTCACAGCTATTCTTCAGCACGCACTTATTTTCATTATTAAAAATACTGTAATATCCATAATTGTCCAAATGAGCGATAAACTATGGTGACATGAGAAGCAACAGGTCTTCAGCATGAATCTATATGAAGACTAAAAGTGAGTTACATTTCACTATATAAATTGATCAAGTGGGGGATATTTTGGCTTCACTGAAGTTTATAGAAATACTTTTATAAAGTATGAATTTCATCCAAGGACTCTGTACCCTGACACATGATTTTCTGTTTTGCAAAACTAACTGAACTGAACTGATATGCTAGCCCTGGTCACTGAAGGGTTTTCTGTAGCTGATTTTAAGTACTGCACTAAAAATATCTATCCCATCTTGATTTACACAGACATCTTAACCTTTTCATTTTTCAAAATATTTGCCTGAGCTGCAATAAAAAATTGGGATTATTATTAAAGTTAGAAATGAATTTAGAAGATAGGAAGGTACCAAACTGCATTTTACAGCTATTTTATATGGATATGCCAACAGTAATCCAATAATTATTTCTAAAGGCTGAGCAGCTGGGGCCAGCTCTATGGATGGACAAGAGAGGTGACCTCCATGTGGAAATTTAAACCGTAATAAAAAGCTAATTTCCCCTATTTAAACTCATGTTTTCATGCATGATAAATCCAATTTGCTTAGCATTTTACTGAGTAGTAAAGGATTTTATAAGAGAGAAAAGTAAAAAGTGCTCTTGTATACCCTAGAAAATCAGCTAAAGCTGCTTTTTTACCTATCTCCAGATTTACTTTGCTAAGTTTGTGTGTATTAACATTTATTTCTTGGTTATTTTTCGGAATTATCATAGTTAATGAGAACAGACCAGAGCATCAAAGGGTGCAACCTAGCTTAGCAGATCTAATTCATGAGTCATACGTTCTGCTTTCCAGTTTGCTTCTTGGACCTCAAATGATGAATAAAATCCTAAAGTCTTTTCTACAGCCATCAATAAGTTATTTTTAAGGAATCATTGTTAAGATTTTGAATTGGTAAGTGGTCCTTTGTTAACCCTTGCTGGAATGTGCATTCATGTTCATGGAGTGCTTCCTATCTGGTGAAAATAATGGCAATACTGATTTCTGTTTCTGTAAGAGGCATTGCACATTTATGCTAGAGACCTGTTGTTTCTCATGTCAACAGAACCCATCACTCATTTGGGGGATTATGGATTTTACAGTATTTCAATAACACCTTTAAATTTTCACTACTAAAGAATGAAATCTTACTAATTTCAAAAAATTTTAGACATCTTTTTACTCATATTCTGGACTAAACTGAAATTGGAGTACTCTCAGAACAGCCCACCAGTCCCTCTGCTGAGTCATCTGAACAGCTTATAGTCATGAGTTAAGGCTTTTAAAGACATTGACAGCAACTAGGTTAGTAAAAATTTACAAGGTACATAGTTTAGAATGTATTAAGGGATTTTGAATCAAAAGAGCTGCTGTCACACTTAAAGTATTTACAAGATATTAAACATGATATCTAGAGACATACTCAGAAGCACACATACATGTCTATATACATTGTTTTACTCCTAAAAAATTCCAAAGAATACAGTTTTTTCAAATTAGATGTTCTATTCTTTCATTGGTCCTAATCCTGCACTGACTACAGGTTTTGTTTGTCCCTTTTATTGAGTAGTAAATGTAGATGCTTTGTACACAAGCTGAACAATTCGTCTAGCAGCTGCCTCAATAACTCCTATGGCAATATACATTTGATAAATAAATATATATAAATAT